TATATATATATATATATATATATATATATATATATTTACTTATTTATTTATATATATATATATATATATATTCAAATCACATAAATGTACTACAATAACAAAATCAAAACTTACTTTAATAAGATTGAAACACATAAATAATATAAGTTGTATATACATATATAAAAATACACCTACAATACATGTTTACAGTTAATAATTTTTAATTCTTATCATATCTTTTTCAAATATATTCAATTTAATACCGAACAAAAATAACTCAAAATTATTAAAATATACAGGATGTCCGATAATTATGTCGGTTACTAAACTGTGAAGGTAGAATGGATTAAAACTGAACAGAAAAGTCATGTACCATTTTATTAAATTAACAATAGATAATGAAGAATTATTTTCTCTCAGCTAACCAGCGCACGGGAAACAGTAGACCGAAGTATGTATAAAGAAAAATAACTTCTTTCTGAAGATACAGAAACGGTGAATATCAACTAATTTGTAAAGGCGGAACGATTAAACGAACAGCGAGCGGCATGTGACAAAGGGTTGTGTGCCGAAAAGAATTATGCTTTTCGCTATTTGTTCATATCCATCGTTGCTACACGAACTTCACAAGCCATTTTTCTTTAAACATAATCCGGCCTACCGTTTCCCGTGCGCTCATTACCTTATACAGAATAATTAATTCATCATTGATTACAATTGTTGCAAAATAGTACATGATATTTCTGTTCGGTTTAATTCGTTCTACTTGCACACCGCGGCAACAGAGATAATTACATACCAAACATCCTATAAACAGAAAAACTTTTGATTAATATCTGTCACAAACTAAAATGTAACAAATTGTACCTTATCATAATGGTAATAAATTTACTTAATACTAATAAATAAAGAGCTATCAGAAAAAAAATCGATAAAGTTACAAAAATTAATATAAGTAACAGTAACATACTAACTTTATTAATATAAACTATTTCTATAATAACATTTTTAGAATCAAACCTAAATAGGAATGATGTAACCACGCCAATAATAAATTTGCAATATGGAATGTGATAATAAAAAAATAAAACAATCAAGTTGTATTTATAAAAGAACCAAATATTTTGATAATAAAAAAATTTGTACCTTTGTTGGTGGTCTTAAAATAAAGCTGTCGCAGCATTTTCCCTTCAGGATCTTTTATAAACTTAACATTATTTTGTAAAATAAACTCAATTTTCTGAATAAATGAATGTCAATTTGTGATCAACGCATCTTGTAAACCAGGTTGATAAGACATTGCAAAGTCTATTTCACAATCTAGATAACAAGATAGAACAATGCTGAGTGTGTAATACTTTGTTTATACAGACATTTATGGTACATTAAAATATTTAAAAGCAACGATAAATTTATTAACAAAAATCCTTACTAATGTAAAATCCTAACCCTGACTGAGACGAAGAACTTTATATTCATCCAAATAAGATGCAGCTTTAATACATTCTACACGTCGTTCTTTAGCTTGCAATCTTGAAGCTATTAGTACATTTCGTTTGTATTTTGATGTTACAGCCCATTTTTCCTCTACTTTACTCCATGGTTCATGAAAACTTTTCCAATTCAAAGCTATTTCTATATTCTTTGTAAGTTCTATTGAAGCAGCTGCACATAAGAAATAATGTGTTACAAAACTAATAGATAAATAAAATAGCTTCTTATCTAACTTATTTTTTGTACGATTCAAATGTTTGAGATAAAGTTTAAAAAGTAACTACAAACTTCCACAAAGTCCATATACATTTTTTATCTGATTAAGAAGCTTAAAATTTTACTTAATTACTCATACACATAACTAACAAAATTTGAAAAGTTTAATAAATTTGATAGGAATAAAAATGTCCAAACTGTTTTAATTTGTTGCTATGGAATACCATTTTCTACAATACGAAGCTGTCTCAACAATCACAGTAACTTTAACCACATTGACTAAAAATATCATGAATGTTTAAAATTACAAATCGTCCAAATTAAAAGTAAATATAATATTAAATATGCAAAATATAACATGTTGTTATTGTAGATACTTCTTTATAAGCATTCTGTTTAGATGTTTTCACTCTAGGAAGGAGATATTTTTCCTCATCCATTCTTTCAAATTTCTTGTCCTATCAAAAAGTTTCCCTCTAGCAAGAAATTGATTATCTCCCTCTTCTTTTGGAGCAATGTAGTATACATTCTGTAATATTAATATATTATTCATGAAATTTATGAAACATTTAAACACAAGATTAACATGCAGGTGAAACTATTGAGTAAAATACCTCTTCGTTTGTAAATAGAGTTAAAATCTTGTCTTTCAATATACTTAAGTCAGATTTTTTGGGTCTGCAAATAGAAAATGCAAAATAAGATTTGTTTAAGAGGACAGTATTTTAAATCTATAAAACTGTAAATAAAATGTTGCTAAGTTGTAGTCAGAAAGAGCACACAAGCTTTAATTTAACCTCTGTTATTCACACACAAATGAGGAAGAGAGAAACACATTAAAACATATCTATTAATAAAATAACTTACTGATTAATACAAAAAAGTAACCACTTAATAACAATGTCTACAAGGGCAGTTCGATCTTCTTCTTCTAAACATTTATTTATTTCATAAGTTTCAAGGATAGCTTTACCTTCTAAGGACTGTCCAAGAAGCTTCTTTAAATCCTGAAAGTAGCAATAAGAAAATTACATAAAATGCTTCCATAACAGTAGTAATGAAATAAATAGTCTGTAGTTTTGCTTGAAAGCTTAATACAAAATCATATATTTCACCTTAAATGTTGATAAGAAAATAAAAATGTACCAAACGTCAGTAACAAAATAATAATTACTTTTAGCTACTGTCATAAAAATATAATGAAAGCAAAGTAATAATTAACTGTACAATATTTTGATAATATTTTTGTTATAATACGAATACGTAGAGAAACCTCAAGATGAAGGTGACTAAAATGAATAATAAAACTTAAAGTAAAAGTTCAAATACTTACTAAATCCATTAATTCCTGTGAAACACTAAAAGCAGTGATTCTTTTTTCAGCAAGCATGTTTAGATTAACCATTTTTTTTCTTAGCTAAACTTGGATTTTCTGTTTCAGCTAAGTTCTGTCTTTTTTGTGTTTCTACTTTATTTTGAGATTTTTTATTTCCCGCATCTGATTCTAAATCCTATAATTAAATATTAATAGAATTATAAATTTAATAAAAAAAATATATAAAATAGAAAGATTAAATAGAATAATAATATACTACACTTTTTAAACGAAAATGAAAATAAATAAATTTGGTGATATGCATATTTCTATTCTAGTATCTATATTTTTTTACTATAGCATAGCAACATCTTATTTCGATTCAAACGTTTAAACACTGTACTGCATTCAGAATGAGTTCATTCGAATTACATTCGAATACTAACAAAAAATATTAGTAAATTTTAAGAAACGTTTGTTTGTAAATTTGTTTGGAAAAATAAATGTCTGTTTAAATGAAGCACTTATTTCTAAAAAATTAAAGAAATAAGTTTCGTATCTACAATTTATTTTTACATTTTTAAATATAATTGCTTTATTGAAACAACAAATTTCTGAAACATATTCCAACAAACGGTAATAAACATTTACTAATTTCTTTCGGTGTAATAACACTCTCTATGCATTGCGCGTGTCATTGTGTATATCTTATTCTTTATATCCCAGATAGCACAAACACTCAAAGGACGTTTTCTAAATATTGTTAGGATGTCCATAAGACGTTTAACGTTCTCTGGCACCGTTAAAACGTCTTTACGGTCTGCGTTAAATGGGATCTTTCTGACTTTCTCTATCGTTTCTATCTATATTTTATTTCTATCAATACATTTTATTTTTCTATATATGTATATTTTTATCTATCCTTTATCTATCTTAATCTATTTCTACTTCGATCTATTTTATATCCCTATCTTTCCTTTCCTACTCTATTCTTCATTCCATCATATCCTTGGGAAATGGAAAACAGAGTTATATTATTTTTATATTATAATATTTTGTAAAGTACAATATAGCTTTTATAATATAATATTTCGAATTTTAAGAAATTATCTTATAAAAACGGAAATGTATATGTACATTCGTATTATAATATTAAAAGAAACACATGTTTTTCATTTCCCTTTGACGGAAGAGACCACCACCTTCTCGCGGTTTCCGTTGAGCAACACTATGTACGAGATTACAATATATTCATCATTATGTTTAATTATATGTAGATATTAGCTAAGTACATGTAAATATAAAGGTCTAGGCATACAAAACTTCAAGTATTAAAGACTAGTAGAAGCCAACGCTGGTTCTGTTGGGCGTTATTGATTACAAATTGTAGTTCTGTACAATAAAATTATGTAATCATTGACACACAAAAGAACCAGCGTCAGTTCACATTAGTCTTTATCAGTGGCCTTTCATCAGCGATGTTTTCATATAAGCATATCGATCTATTCGAAGGATACAAAATATTTGCAGAAAATATTGTGTATAATTGTTGTATAATTTGTATAATTTGTTGGCCGCCGTGATTGCAAAAGTCTTATTATATTGAAACTGAAAAAGATTTCTAATTTGGCATTCTATGGCAACTGAACTGAAGTAGAAATATAATATTCGGAATATTTTTCTATTTTTTTGCACATAATTATCACTTCTTTTCGATACTTTGTTAGCCAATAATTTTACTTCGTTCAAAACGTAATTCGAAACTTCCGGTTATTATACATCTAGTTCATATGATAGTCACACATCTATACATTTAAAACGTTTTTCATTTCTATGTTTCATGTCACTGGGACTTACACACTCGTATGATTCAACAGATAATATGTTCTCGGAACCTCTGCTGATAAAATTCTATATCTTTCAAGTTTGTTAATATTTTTACATAAAATAATTACTAATTGCAATTTTTATATATATATATATATATATATATATATATATATATACTATTATATATATGTACTTCATTTACATGTCGATGTATCCGAGAAGCGGTGACAAGCGGCACAATACGAACGGAGACAGCTTAGCGCGTCTCGCGGCCGGCGGGGTAGCTATAGCTATCGCCGAAGGATAGCGATATCGTCTGTACTCTTCTATTCTCCCGAACTCGGCCGAACGTCGCCGCGCTCACGGATACGGGCGCCGCTTGTGTGGGTTTCTCCCACCGCGCTGCCAGCGTGCTGTAAATGTAACAAAACTGACAAGGGGAACCCGGCAGTCTCTGATCACCGATTTGATTAAAATTTTATAGGTGTGTAGTACGCACTCATACATTTACTCCTGTAAAGCCGTAGGACCCACTATTGAGGCATTCTCGAGAAATATTTTTTTAAATATTTCGAGAAAAATTTTTGTCCCTATAGTACCGTTACGGAAAAGCAATTTTCGAGCTGGCAGCGTAGCGTCAACGGTAAGACGTAGACTACTACGCTCAAGGTTGCAGGTTCGATTCCCTGATGCTTTTTTCTTCATTTAAATGATTTTTTTTTTATTTAAATTTTATATATTTTTAAATTTGTATTTAACACCATTTTAAACCGTTTTTAATTATTTTATATCAAATTTTTTAATAAGTAATT